TACTTGTCTTTTGTATGCAAGAAATCCAGGAATTTTGAGCATAGTAAATTTAGGACCATCCCCATGAATGTTTGTGATAACCACATAAATACAAAAACCACACATGATTTCAGCAGTAGCATAATTCATTTCCTCTACTAAATATCACCTGTGCCTTGATGCTATGCAAAGACTAGTAAGTATATACATTTCTTGAGCAGTGTTACATAAATATAAAATATGATTCATGTATATGTTTGCAACCACAAAGACACATTAATCGGTAGTCTACAGAAAGACTTAAGTTCTTTTACAAATTAGATAGGGACACTTGTGCCATTTCCGCTAATTCACTGAGTATGCAACTGGAAAACCCAGCCTTCTATTCTGGGATTTTAAATCTGGTACCTTCAGCAAATAGCATTATCAATATTTTAAAGTTGTATTTAGCTTCTGGTGAATAGTGGTGGGGTTTCCCTCCCTCCTAAGACCTTTCTACAAGGCGGCCTGTTTCCCACAGAATACCTGACAACACTAGCCCTTCTCCTAGGGGAGCTTTGTGCATGGCCCAGAGAAGGGGTTCTGAGGGAAGTCTTCATATATCCCTGATCTCTCATCCGACTCTACCTTCCACCCCCTGCCACCAACCCTGCTTTAATTTTACCATCAACCCTAAACTTTTTCTTTGAAATTTGTATGGACTCTGTTTACTGGGGTACATTCCCCTTTTTGATGTACAATGATGTAGAATGACCGTAAGTGCTTGCCCACCACCACCACCCAAAACAGACAACTACGAAAGGCATCTGTGCCCCCAAGGGGGCATTTCCACAGCAATGCAGGCAGAAGTCACCACGATCCTGGGTAAATTGGGGCCTTTAAGGCCATCAGAGGTGCATAGGTAGTTTAAATCAGAACCAGGGACCCCAAACACCCCTGTCACCTTTCCTGGAGAGCTGTAGGGATACAGAGCCCTAAAAAGGCAGAAAAGCCTCTCTTCTCCATGGAAACTTTAATCCTCTCAGAAGAGTTCTGTTTCTGTTGGAAATCCAAGACTTTGCAAGCAAACATGGTAAGAACTTCCAAAGTGACAAGGGGAATGTAAGGAGTGTAGGGTGAGAATCCTTGGGTGGAGGTGAGGGGAGGAGAACTAAAACAAGTGATCCCTTTCATTAGTCTCTGCGGGTAGTGATTTCCCTACTTACCCTAAGAAACGCAGTGGAAGCAGCTTCTCCCTCATCTATTAAAAGAAGAAGATGGTATCTTCAGCTGAACAGGCAACATGAACTTTAATTATAGGCCCAAAGGGGCTTTAAGCTCATCTTGTATCTCCTTGGCGTTCAGCAGGACAGCTTTAAACTTTCCTAAAAAGATGAGTCCACCTATTTTTAAATATACCCAAAGAGGGCATTCTGGTCTTCTGTTCCTTTGTTAGATGGGGGAATTCTTTTTGCCTTTGTAACCTCTCCACAGGTGAACTTTTCCTATTACTAACCAGGTTTGCTCAGTGGAAATGGTGAACAGCCGGTCACCTTTAGCCTTTCCTAAACTGTACTTCTGTCTGTCAATCTACATGAAATTATAACAATTAATTAGATTCTTGAGTTTAAACTCAATAAATTTGGAGCTAGATGAAATCAATATGGAGCTAGATGCCAAGTGAATCACTCATGAACAGAAGAGTGCCACCCTTTTTCTCAAACCTTTTCATTTCTCCGACATCAATTCCAGTGCTAGCATCTCTCCACTCCCCATTTCTCTTCCAACACTGCCCACAAGCATTTTCTCTCTCTTTCACGCACACACACACCAAATGTGCACACTCACACTGGTAAATTTTAAACATCCCTTAAACAGCCAGTTAACATTTAGACCTTGGCTCTCAGTGTTCACAACAAGGGACGATAGTTAAGGGCATACATAGACTCTGGAACCCACTGTCTATACATAAACCCTCATTCTGGGACCATATGCGTATTTTTGTAATCTCCCTATACATGTGTTTTCTCGCCCATATAATGGATATATAGTATAACAGCATCTACCTTATAAGGTAGTGGAAAGGATTAATAAGTTAATACATGAAATGCCCTTAGAATGGTGTCTAATTGTAAATGCTATATAGTTGTTAGCTATTGTTATACCCTCCTTGCAGCAAAGGGATTTGGAGGCATGAAACTATGCCCAATATTCCACAAGGCAAGAATTTGAGAAAGAAAAGGAGTAGGACTCAAGTTTAAGGGAAGCGGAGAAGCAAGAAGAGTCATCAAGTTGGAAGATTAAAGAAAAAAGGCAAAAAGCAAATAAGGAAAAAACTACAAAGAGCAACTGCAGACATTTTTACAGGGAAAAGTAGGAAGAGAAAAACATAAGGGAAAAGGAAAAGGGAAAGAAGTGAAGAGGTGGGCATGAAAAGAAGGAGAGAAGAAGAAAAGAGGACTGGAAATAACACAGGAGACAAGTAATTAGAAAAGACTCCTTTTGCAGCTGAGCTGGGTTTTAGAAAAAGAAAGGAGTGGAAGAGAAAACAAAAATATTAAGACACAGAAGTAGGGAAGTTTGGGGACAGAGGGATGGGGGAGAGCAGGTAAAAGTGGTAACACACAGGGCTTCATTTGCACCGATGGGCCTCTGACCTTAAATGATGGGAAGTTTACATCCTAAATGAACACACCCATGATCCACCAGGCTTCTATCCCCACCCCTGCTGTAACTGGCTTCGGAATCAGCTCCAGACCTGGTCCCTAAGGTTTGCCCTGATCAGAGGTCTGCGCTGTGTCTTGTCTGGTCTACTGACAAAGCCAAGATGCAGTGGTCCAGCCTTCATTTCATTTTCACTAGATACTCTGGCCATGCTTTTCAAGTGATTATTTAACTCTGGAGCAAATATTTAAACCCCTTTTCTACTCCAAACATCCTATTAGGGGAGCTGATATCTTGTAGGGGTTTTTTTTGTGGGGGGGGGGCTATTTTTTTTCATTCAATTTATCAGCATCCTTTCCAACCCTGTGTGTGTGTATGTGTGTGTGTGTGTGTGTGTGTGTGTGTGTGTGTTGTCAATTCAGAACAAGAGAACAGAATGACACAGGAATATGCCGCTTTTAGGGCTCCACACTGGCCTCCCCACCAAGGGGAACCAATCATCCAATCACTTGGAAACATGGGAGAGGTTGGAACGATGATGAAAACAAAATCAGTGTTTAAAAAATACTTTTTCTTCTACGCATTGTCATTCCTAAATTGCCTGATCGTTGAGAATGCGTTCCCCTATTTGAGGATGTGGAGCGCCCTTACAGGGCCCTCTGATGAGACAGACGCGGCGGACTGACCGCGAGCGTCCCCTCCCGCCGGGGTGAGCCTGGGCCGCCGCCGCCGCGGGAGTCACGCAGCCAGACGCGCGCGCGCCCCGCCCAGGCCCCGGGAGACTGCAGCAGCGCGCCGCCACCGCGGCCCGGGCGGCTGGCAGGAGGAGCGGCTCCCGCGGACACGTGACCTCCTCCCAGCCGCCGCTTCCCGCGACCCAGATCCGTCCCCGGAGCCCGCGCCCGGCGCGGCCAGCCGGGGGATGCGTGGGGACCGCTCCAGTCCCGGCGGCGCCCCTGTGCGTGTGCTTTCGGCGCATGTCTCCCCGCGGTTCACGTGCCACGGGCAATACTGAATGTCACGGGGAGCAGCCGGGAGAATGTAGATCTTACTCTTGGTGTGGGCAGGAAAGACCTTCGGTTTTCTGTCTGTTCCCCTATAGAGGGAGACTCATACATGTTCTCGCCACCCGACCCCTCTGCACCGAGCAGCGGTGCCCCCGGGCCTCCAAGCCCCTCGCCGCCCGCAGCGCCGGGCCGCGTGGGCCGTGCGCATCCCCTGGCACCTCTCGGTGCCTCTCGCTAGCAGTGAGTCATACTCCCGGGACGGCTGCGGGGAACGGTAGCGCGGCTCCGGCCAGCCTGCGCTACCCGCGCGGGCGCCGCGGCTCCAGGACGAGCGCGCGCGCGCGCGCCCGGGCTCCCCGCGCAGTGATGTGGCAGAGCGGCAGGTCGGATCACGTTGCTGGCCCTGTGCTGGTACCCGTTTGAGACAGGATTAAGGAGGGAGGCTTGGAGGTGCCAGCGGTAGTAAACGTGGGCCTGCACACTCCCGGCGTCGCTTATCGCACGAGGAGGGGGCGGGGGCGCACGCAGCGCCGCCCGGGGCGCTGACTGGCGGCCGGGTTCAGCGGGCAGCTGGTAATGCCCCATCGCCTTTCCGCGGTGGCCCCTGCGTGCTCCCCTCAGTCCCTCCCCCCATCCTCCGACCCCTCCGCGTTCCTCCAGGAGCACCGGAGGCCCCAAACGTCGTCATCTGCTGCTGTGGCAGTGGCACCGCAATTCCAGCTACTGCGGGAAGTTTGGGTGGCCCAGGGACACCGTGTCGCCAAAAGACACTTCGATTGCGACATTCTGACCCAGTGACTACATTTCCATTTATCTTAAATCCTTAAGGGAGCGAATTTCAAGTGGCCCCTTTTCAGGGCAACCTTCAAGCAGGGAGGGCCAGGGTCTCCCCCAGGCCACAGAGCGGTGAGCAAACAAGTCTCCAAATCTTCCTTCGGGACTGAAGTTTACCCACCGCGAATCCTCTTTCTCTTTCCTTTCTCCGGTCCAAACCAACAGCACAGTCAGTGGAAGAGCAAAAAGCCACGTTCACGTTTCTGCACCGTAAAGCCGGACAAACGGAGGGTGCAGCGTTTCTGAGCCGTGGAAGCCCTGGCCGCCCGGCACCCCCTGCGCCCCCTCCCATCCCCCAGCTGACTGCGTCGCCTCTGGGAAGATGAAGCGCTTGGCTGAAGTTGTTTTTCCTTTCCGGTGGCCCTGATCAGGTGTCCCCGCCCCCTCCTGCCACTCATCTTCCCTCGCAGCCCTCTCCCGACGCCCCCTCCCGGCCCGGCCCCTCCTCCCCCGCCCCCCTCCGGGCTGGACCGCGGATGGTACGTTCCGCACGTGAGCTGGGTGCTGGTCTGGCCGGCGACGCGCGTGCCCTGTGGCCAAACACTGCCCGGAGTGAGAGCAAACTACCAGCGCAGTGGGGCCGGCGAGAGTGTGCGTGCGTGTGTGTGCGAGAGAGCGCGCGCGGTGGGCGGGGGACCAACTGCTTCACGCTTTCAACACTGCGCTGAAGAGGGAGAGAGAGACTGGAGACGCACAGATCCCCTCAAGATCTCCCAAAGATACCGTCCCACAGATTATAGAACAGAACCCCAAAAATCGAAACAGAGGAAACGGACAGCGGTTGAACATGGACGAAGGAATTCCTCATTTGCAAGAGAGACACTTACTGGAACATAGAGATTTTATAGGGTAAGGTGCATGCACTCTTGCAAATATCTGTCTAGGCTTCAGGGTTTTTTGTTTCTTCTCCAGAAAGTGGTATCGGAGCGAGAGAGGGCAGAACCCCTCCCCGAACGGGTGCCTGATGCTGATTTCTGTTTTGCAGACTGGACTATTCCTCTTTGTATATGTGTAAGCCCAAAAGAAGCATGAAGCGAGACGACAGCAAGGTAAGTGTAAGTTTCCGATGTTCCCTATAACCTGCCTAGATAGTTAATTAGGGCCATTGATTTCATAGCGAAGCTCTGCCCGCAAATATATTCCAGTCCTTGAGCTTCCCCAACTGTGAATTTTAAGTGGTTTGCTGGATACTCTCAGGGGTAGATTAAACATTATACCTGAATTTGAATTGCATTTCAAAACACTCCAGAGGAAAGAGATTTCTTGGGGCATAGTTTATCACATACTATGTTTTTTCTTGGGGTGGGGTGGGGGGCAATATTGTATATCCAGTAAGTGAATGTTTTTAGCTTATTGTTTTCTCTCTTCCATGACTCTCATATATTAAGGATACCTACAAATTACCGCACAGATTGATAGAAAAGAAAAGGAGAGACCGAATTAATGAATGCATTGCTCAGCTGAAAGATTTACTGCCTGAACATCTGAAATTGACAGTAAGATGCACATTTTCATTCTTAGCTGCTCTCCAAGGGTGTGTTAATAGCCTGGTACTACTCCCAGAGATATAAGAATAAATGTAATATCATATGCAATACAACTTTTGCTATAGTGTAGTTTCCCCAAACTCAAGAATAGGTGCACACAACTGAAGGCAAGAAATCATCTACAACCTGTCTTGTGTAAAGCTCAAGAAGTATAGGAATAGTACTTTCAAAGTATTTGCTTAAGTTGCTGTGCTGAAGGGAGATCCAACTGAGCCAAATGTGTGTTTTTCAGTAACTAAGTGCCCCCCTCTCTTTTGCACCATTGCAGACTCTGGGGCATCTGGAGAAAGCAGTAGTCTTGGAATTAACTTTGAAACACTTAAAAGCTTTAACAGCCTTAACAGAGCACCAGCATCAGAAGATAATTGCTTTACAGAATGGTAAGTCAGTTCAGGGAGGCCAAAACCCCCACCTGCATGAAGACGGGCAGCCCACAGAGGCCCAGTGTTGGAACTCTTACCCCACCCCACCTCCTTTCGTGGGCGCACGGGCTCACTCTCATTTATTAAATTGCTTATACTTTCCCTTCATTGGAAAGTGCCCATTTCCCGAAGCATCCTAGAGGCTTTCAGCAGACCTCAGAGGAATCCGATTTTTATTTAAAGTGGCGGTTGCGCCCTCTCCACTTCGGTTTTTCAGCTGGCAGTAGAGCGCCCCCCTGCTCCCCACCCCCTCCACCACCACCACCCACTCTCGGCAACCGGTGGATTGTGTCACTTGAATACAGAGGAAAAACCAAGATCACTTCAGTTAATGTAGGGCCCACGTGATAAGCAGATGTTTTAACGTCGGTATTTTTCTTCTTGCCTCCATTCCTGTATCCCACCCCGTCCCCCTTCCTCATCCTAGGGGAGCGATCTCTGAAGTCACCCATTCAGTCAGACTTGGATGCCTTCCACTCGGGATTTCAAACATGCGCCAAAGAAGTCTTGCAATACCTCTCCCGGTTTGAGAGCTGGACGCCCAGGGAGCCGCGGTGTGTCCAGCTGATCAACCACTTGCACGCCGTGGCCGCCCAGTTCTTGCCCACCCCCCAGCTGTTGACTCAACAGGTCCCTCTGAGCAAAGGCACCGGCGCGTCCTGCGCCGCCGCCCCCGCCGGGTCCGCGGCCGCCTCCTGCCTGGAGCGCGCTGGGCAGAAGCTGGAGCCCCTCGCCCACTGCGTGCCGGTCATCCAGCGGACTCAGCCCAACGCCGAGCTCGCCGCCGAGAATGACACGGACACCGACAGCGGCTACGGCGGCGAGGCCGAAGCCCGGCCGGACCGGGAGAAGGGCAAAGGCGCGGGGGCGAGCCGCGTCACCATCAAGCAGGAGCCCCCAGGGGAGGACTCGCCGGCGCCCAAGAGAATGAGGCTGGATTCCTGCGGCGGCGGCGGCCCGGTGGGCGGCGCGGTGGCGGCGGCGGCGGCGGCCGCGCTCCTGGGCCCCGACCCGGCCGCGGCGGCCGCGCTGCTCAGACCCGACGCCGCCCTGCTCAGCTCGCTGGTGGCGTTCGGTGGAGGCGGGGGCGCGCCCTTCGCGCAGCCCGCGGCCCCCTTCTGCCTGCCCTTCTACTTCCTCTCGCCGTCGGCCGCCGCCGCCTACGTGCAGCCCTTCCTGGACAAGAGCGGCCTGGAGAGGTACCTGTACCCGGCGGCGGCCGCCGCCCCGTTCCCGCTGCTCTACCCCGGCATCCCCGCCGCGGCCGCCGCCGCCGCCTTCCCCTGCCTGTCCTCGGTGCTGTCGCCCCCTCCCGAGAAGGCGGGCGCCGCCGCCGCGCCCCTGCTGCCGCCCGAGGGGGCGCCCCCTGGGGCGCTGCAGCCCCCGCGCCCGCACGGCCGCGCCCACCTGCCCTGCGGCGGCCCCCGCGAGCGCGGGAACCCGGAGGGCTCGGCTCAGGATGATCCCTCGCAGCCAGGAAAGGAAAGCCCCTGAACCCTTGCGCCTCTTTCTCAGCAAGGATGAGGGTTCACGCGGAATAATGATGTTACAACACCCTTAACGTTTTTAAGGGAGGAGGCGTAATAGATGCACGATAGGCTTTAAACAACACCGGTGTTTTGTGTACATTTGGAGTTGCTGTTTTGCTGATCCCTCACCACCCCGCCCTACGCACACTAACATCCCTTTCCTCTCCCAACAGCTGTAAAAGAACCTCTGCGATAGATAATTTTTTCCTTAAGAATTCCCCAATATGCGATTTGCCTTTTTTTTAGGCCACGACCCATTATCTTTTAAACTGTAGAACTGAATTCTCGAGGAAGCAAGAAGGGGCTGCTCTGGGGCTGAGCTGCTGGAACCTGGGCCGGGAAAGGGTGGCCGGGGTGATGACACCGAACAGCAGGTCGTTGTCATCGGCCTGTGTCTCAGCGCTGCCCTGCCTGCTTCAGGAGGCTTTCCACAGACAGAATGAGGATCTTTCAAAACTGAATTTGCCCTTCAGTATTTTATAATGTTCAGCTTTTTGAAAGGCATATATTTTTCAGAGGAAGAAGTGAGGGTGCAGTTGCTCACATTGCAACCTTGTCTGAAGTGGTTTGAATGGTATCCATCCCTTAGTGATTTGCACTTGTTTAAAGAGACACGGATTGGGCCATTGTCAGAACTAAGTCAGGGAAGGAGATAGATGAAGAAGGCCAGCATCATTCTCAGTACCTTTGCTAGCACTTTATTGAGAGACTGACCATGAGTCGATTGACTTAACTTCGTATATATGTATGTACATATACATACACCGAGTGCATCTCTTCCCACCTTGTCTTTAATCCTTCACATTAAGTTTCTATAACCTTGCTGTAAAGAAAAAAAAAATGTGCACTGAACTTAAAAAAAGAAAACAGCCCAAACTGATTTATGCTATATTCTGTTAAATCCCAAAAGTGGAGGAAAGCGTCTGACTGGTCAGTTTTGATTGGAAAAGCTGTAAAGATGTGGAATGAAGCCCTGTGAGGCCTTCCTATCTCCAAGTCTATGTATGTTCTGGAGACCAAACCAGATACCAGATAATCACAAAGAAAGCTTTTTTAATAAGGCTTAAACCAAGACCTTGTCTAGATATTTTTAGTTTGTTGCCAAGGCAGCACTGTGAGAAGTCTCACTGAATGTCATGTATGGGGTGAGACAACAACAGTCCGACTGCGGGGCTTCTAGTCGGTTTGGCGCATTTGCTGCTGCTGTTCTACTGTTTGCCTCAAACGCTGTGTTTCAACAACGTTAAACTCTTAGCCTACAAGGTGGCTCTTATGTACATAGTTGTTAATACATCCGATTAATGATGTCTGACATGCTATTTTTGTAGGGAGAAAATATGTGCTAATGATATTTTGAGTTAAAATATCTTTTGGGGAGGATCTGCCGAAAAGTCGCACTTTTGTTACAATGCTTAACGCTTGGTACGAGCTTATGCTGTCTTAAATTATTTAAAAAACAAATAAATACTGTCTGCAAAAAACCAGCTGGTTTAGAAAAGTTTAGTATGTGAAGATAAACTAGAAATTATCTTTATATTCTAGTATTTTCAGCACTCCATAAATTCTATTATCTAAATATTGCCACATTATTTTGTGATCTCAAAATTCTTACTAAGGAATAAAAATTTTAATATATGATATGAGATTGCCTAATAATTAAAAAGACATAATGGATGCTCTGTGAGTTTTAGATATCTATGAATATAGGGGTGAAAGTTTTTAAGGTCAGATATATAACTTAATTTGCCTCCAACTTAGTATCATCCATTTTCAATCTCTTGCAAGCCTTCAGGCTTTGACTGTGTCTACGTACTTGCTGCCAGTGTATCTTAATGAAAAGTGCAAAAAAATCCCCTACAAATCACTTGTGTGGTTTGTTAATGTTAGACCCAACTGCCTAATGTTTTTATGACTGATGAGTTTTCCACTTTTCATCTTTGACACCACATAACCTCTGCTGTACGATCTGGTTTTCTCTTTTACTGGGTTCCATATAAATACCACTTAATTTCTTAATTTAGTGCTTAATTTCTTAGCATACCTTATATACTAAGTATATGCTTAACCTTTACAAAATAATTTTCTTGTAGGACTTTATCATGGAAATCAAGGAACAGAAATAATTATTTTTGGACTTCTCTCAAATTTATAACCAAATCTGTGATTTGATATGAACTCTGAAGGATTGTCAGTTTTTACTTTCAGTAATGTTCTTCACATAACTCTTGATTTTTCAAAGGTGTTGAAATAAGTCAAAATTTATGAGATGTAGAAAAAGTGCTCCCTCTGCTGACTTTATGGCAACGGAACTGCGAAGTCATAGAATATGGAGCCAGAAGGCACCTCAGAAGTCAGCTTGTCCAGCCCGTTGTGTTTTACAATGAGGAAAATAAGGCCCAGAGATGTCCAACATTTTCCTAAGGTCACACAGCTTCTTGGAGCCAGCACTAGAGGCCAGATCTATTGTATACCTCTGTCAGTGAACTACTTCCCCCTCCAGCATCTTAAACCCAGAAAACTGAATTTGATTGGGCAGCATTTGTGAAAGATCATGAATAAAACCACAGGAACAAAGGAAATAAAAATCAGCATTAGGAAACCATATAGGACTTTTGAGCATTGTAATGTATTGAGCTTTAGGAAAATATTTGATCTATCTAAAGCATAAAGGGGGAAAAACATTTTTAAAAATTTGAACTATATTTTAATGCCATATTTTAATAAAAGTAGTTTCACAACCAAAACAGATGCACAGTAAACGATTATAAAATGTTTAAGTATTTGTAGAATTTTGGTATAATATAAAAAATGTTAGGGTTGAACTAGATTTTATAGGACAGTTATTTAGTCCAAATACCTATATACTAACATGGTAATAAGATGAAATTAGTGAGAAAAGAATTGCAAAATAATATTGTCTATATTGCATCTGAAAATTTATTTTGGTCATTGATTTATTTTAATGAATTAAAACACTGGAGTCATTAATTCACAAAGGGCAGTTCTATACCTGCAGTAGTAAAATTTTAGCTTAAATGCTTTGTAGTATGTATGATTTTTCAATTTAAGACAAATGTGAATCTTGAGTCAATGCTTTTATACCTATAGTATTATACCAACTAATTTTACATACATATATTACTCAGCAAACTTTATACTGAGTTCATCAATGGCTTTTTACCCCCAAAGAGCTAAGCACATTTTTAAGGCACTAGAAACTACATTCTAATAGCTATTTAAACCATGACTGGAGTTTTAGTTCCTACCATCATAAAAAGCATTTTTCATTTAGTTCTCTGTTACTGGCCATAGAGGCCATAATTTTGGTTATTGCCATCACCTGAGATTTCTTCAAAAAGTATATAAAAGAAGCCTCAGCCTATTGCTGAACTGCCACAGGTCACTTCTGAACCTCTCCACGGAAGGTGATTATCATTTGAGGTCCTGGGGAGTCATGACTGGGCAAACAAACTAAGACCTTTTACTTTAGACAGAAATGAACAGAGCCTTTATGAACGACTTAAGACCATTATAATGCCAAAAGCTGGCTATACTACTGTGATGACACTATTTTTCTTCAGAGAGCAATCTGTATTTTTCACTAAACCAAAAAAACCTCTTTATCTACTAGACCTTTGGGTCAATATATTTAGGTCTACCCATTGTTTCTGTGTTGTTTTACATAAGTTCAGAATGGATATACAGTGCATGCTAAAGTCCAGTGTAAGTTCTAGTTCTTTATAGAACTTAATAGGGGATTGATATGGAAAATTATCACATTTTCTGAGATTAGGATAGGATTTATACTAAAAAATGTGCAGCATGTACTTTAAAAGTATGCTGCTAGAAAAGAGTTGGACATTTGTCTTAAAAATGGGTTTCTTGAACTTGTTCGGTGATTCCCTATCAAAAACTCCAAACAAATTGAAAACTATGCCATTTTAAAAGTCGGTATTTAAGAATTCGGAACTCAATTATACCCAATTTATCCGGCCTCAGATATATGCCCCAGGAAACAGTGAGTGAAAACACCAAAGCTTCTATGTTCAAGAGCCAACATTGTTTATCTTCTCTTTTTTCTTAAGTTATTTTAGTGGAAAGCTTACTACTATCTGTTACACATGTCCTCTAAAGTGTTTCATACATGTATTAGAAAAAAAAATGCCCCATCCATAGTTCTTTCTGGATAATTCAGGGTCATCATCATAAACATCACTTCGCACTATGCATGTCATCTGGGAGTACTGGAACCTGCACCAAATTCTTTTTGTGTTTTTGTATCTGCTCTTTATAGGTTTTTCAGCCTCTTTACTCATGGCGAGGCTGCCTGCTGTTACTTCTTGATGTGTCAGAGGGCCTGGCTCCAACTCTTATCTCACTTGCTATCTCTGACTTACTGTGGCCTGGGAAACCATTTAACCAAAACCACACCCATTTGAAATGCATCTAAAATTAGAATAAGTAAGTCTGACCAGAGTACCTAAGGGGCACTTCTCTAAATTGTGTGAACTTGCTGAATCGATGACATGTTCCCACCCAGGCCTATTTGTTTTTCTTTAACTTTCACAGTCTCAGCAGCATTCCATATCAGAACACTTATGCAAAAGCCTTTAAATACTTTATTTTTTATTGTTTTAGTACATTAAAAAGCAGCCTGCTAGTGGTATTATACTACAGCTAACCACAAAATTAAAAAAAATTTCCTTGACGGAAACAAATTATTTAATTCAATGAACACTTCTTTCCCTCTGGCTGACAGGAATAGGCGAGCAAGAGCCATTAGTGAAAACTGCATCAGCATTTTGATTTATGGATGACCCTGGACCCTGCTTCCGGTGTGCAATCCCCTCCATCCTTGGGTTTTGGATATCTGGGGTGGCAGATTCAGTGAAAGCATTCTGGGGAGCGGGCAGGGAGGATGTTTAGGCCCAGATGCTGCCTCTAAATTTAGACACACCCATTGGAGAGCTTCTGGTGAAAGGTTTCAGTCTCCCACCCACTGCACTGTGCTCCTTTTCTCCCCGAGCCTACAGATTCAGTAAACAGTGCGAATGGGGAGACAGACATTTGTTTTGCTCCTAGTATGTGTGAGGTACTGTGGTGAGTGCTAGAGAATCCAAGATTAAGAATCTCTGAGCATCTAGTGGGGGAGACAGATCCACACTAAAATAAACTACAGTACAACACAAATGCTATGCAGGGTGAATGCATCAGGACAGTTTAATTGGTACTACCTGACTTGAGGTCTGAGCAAGGAGTTCCTAACCTCTCAGTCTTTTTAGAACTTGACTGCCACACTGGTTCTCAACATTGTCTCCTTCTGAGGATCTGAACCATGAGCTGGGACTGAGGGGTCATGTATTTCCTACTGCAACAGGGAGCATGCAGAGCATGATAATGTCTTATGCAACAGGCAAACAAAAAACAAAAAACAGTACCTCACAAGCAGCTGTATCTCACCTTCATCCATCCACTTGTCTTAGAGGAGAAACGAAGAGTAACTTCTTTCCTTTCAGGTACTGTCATGATGATACATGTTTTCTACTCAGTGCCCCCAAAGGGGCAATNGATAAGCAGGACCATACCAAATGAAAAAGTTTCTACAAAAGAAATAACACAGTCAGCAGAATGAAAAGGCAACCTGTGAAATAGGATAAAACATTTACAAACCATATATCTGATAAGAAGTTAATATCCAAACTATACAAACTATATAAGGAATTATTACAATCCAATAGTAAGTAAAATAAAGAGAGAGAGAGAGAGAGAGAGAGAGAGAGAGAGAGAGAGAGAGAGAGAGAGAGAAACAAAGAATCCTAAGGCCTATTTTTCAAAACCTCTGGGAGGAAGCTAAGGTGAGCAGCTAGTCCAGAGTCACATAGCTCCCTAAGTAGCAGAATGAGGACTAGGAGCCAGATTTTTTGATTCTGGGTCCACTGCTCATTATATTATTACTCCATAGTAATTAATAGTAATGAGGAGGGGTCAGGCTGAGGTTTTCTCATCAAATGAACTGAGCTAGTCCAAGCCAGGTTCTAAAAGGCAGAGTATATACACTGTTGGTGGAGAAGCAAGTTTACCGCCGTAATCACAATAATAGTAATCATCTAAATTACGGCATGCAGCATGCAAAAATTATGACAGAGAAAACCTGGAGAAACGGTATTCAAGCTCTCCTACAAAGAACCAAACCGTTTTGCTGTCTATGCCATTTGTAGACATCCAAAATGTGCCCCCCCTGGTTTGGAGGTCCTCACATGAGCCGGTGTCTCCGTCTCTATTCCTTGTACCCATGTAGTTCCGGTTGAAAGCTAAAGGTTCTCCATGAAAGGGATCAAAGCAAGCTATGAATCTGGATAAGGGGAACCTTTAGAAGTGAGGAAGTAGGTAGAGGGCAGTTGGCTGAGGTTTGTATATGGGGCAATTTTTAAGGTGTTGCAAACTATAGCTACTGTTTCACTTAGAAACCTTTTACGTATGAGTATGCAGCACACGTGTACACGTAGGGTACCAAGTGCTTTACAGCGGAGGCACTGTGTAGCTGCCACGTCGCTCTGTAATAAACTTTGCCTCCATATGTAGCTTTACAGGTTCAGCACCTCACAGGTTCGTATTTCGAAAATCAGATCTAACACAGGATCTTTAGTCTGGATCCAATTCAAGATCTCAGTTACTTTGAGACATCAGAGCATTCCCCATATAGAATACGACATTTTAAAGACACTGGCTTCTCTTTCTACGATACCTTAAGCAGGGCTTGGTTTTCGAGTTTATTATTGGGTTAAACAAGGTTCATCTGCAGAGCTGTGAGGTCGCCGTGCGATCCGCAGCGGGCGGAACAGGTGAACAAACCCGACGGTCCGCCTGCTCGCCTGGAGGGCTCTGCAGAGACAAGTGGGCACGATAAAGGGTCTCTGAGTTCTGGGTTTGAAACGTACTTATTTCAAAACTGGTAAATCAACCGTTGCTCCTCAAACCGCCGTTGGAGCGCTGCGCAGTGGGAGATTAAAGCGGAGGGGAATAGTGTCATCAGCCCTGAGATCTTGAGGAGCTCTGGGATTGGAAAGAGGGCAGCATTCTCAGGTTGCCTAGCGATAAGCCTGCCGATGATATCATTCTCCCGGAGGCCGGCCTCCCCCTCGCCGCCCCTCCCGGGCCCCCTTCCTCCTCCCACGCCCGGGTTCAAAGTACAGCCGCGCCGGGTGGGGGAGCCGGACCCGGACGCGGCGCGGTCACATGCACCAGCACATGCCGGGGCGCACGCTGCGCGGCACGTGAGAAGGGGCGGGGCGGAGCCTGCTCGCGACCCTTCGCGCGTGCGCGCTGGCCCGGGTGCGGGAGCGGAGTCGGCGGGCCTCCCGGGTTGGGGCGGCGGGGGGCGCGGGCGGGGCTGCGGGCGGGGGCCGAGGACGCGCCCTCCCGACAGCTGCGCCGCACCCCGCTGCGTCTTAGCGGGCCGGCCGTAGGTAGTCATACCTCCCGAATTAAAGCTGGCTCCGACTGCCGACCCCGAACCGTTCTGACGCAGCAGTTTCCGAGCAGCCTTTCTGGGCGCGGGGTAGAGGAAGGTCGACAGCCGCCCCGGGACGGCCTTGGGGCGGGAACTTCAAGTCTGGGCCGGCCGCGGCCGGGAGAGGTGACAGGCCGGGCGGGGGGTGACACGCGGTGACACACCCGGCGGCGCCGGGACGTGGGCCAGACCCCGGCCGGCCTGTACTGGTTCCTGGGCCACGTCCTGCTGGAGAAACCTCGCAGGCTGGTGGGAGTCGGGAGAGTGCTCGAGCAGAGAGATCTCCGCAGACGAGGTGCGGAAGGACCGGCGGGTGGGGGCATTCATTGCATCTTCCTTTGCTTCAACGTTTTGCCAATTGCATTCCCAGTAATTAAGCACTAGGGGCTTTATTTAGCTGTGATGAAATATACTGGGACTCTTCCCTGCAAGGTGTAAAGTAAAAGACGTGATTTTATGGCAGGAATGGATTCTGCATGGTGCAGCAAAGTGAAAATAATGTAGCCAGAGGCTGAGAGATAGATTTATTTTTTAAGTTATATTTTTAAAGTTAGTTACAAGACCCCTGAGGAAAAACGATCAAGTCTCACAAACTTTTTGAAGCGATCACGTTACTTGATTTGTAACACTTCCGGAAAACATAAATATTTATAAGCGATCTGAAATGAGTAATTAGTTCGGAGGAATTTGGAGTTCCTGACGCCCTTTTGATAACCGAGTATTCCCAGTGGGGGTACAAAAGTAGCGAAGCACCACTGCCCCCGGCAAATACAGTGTTGATCATGTGATGGAAAGCGACCTCGGGCGTTGCCTCTAATATTTGGACAGGTCAGGTGCCAGTGTTTGCTAAGACATTCTAGAGTGGTTGTAAACTTTCCAGTGTAAAGGGCACAGTGAGTGCCACCCTGTACACAGACTGCTATAAGCTAACAGACAAAAGCACAAGACGGATTCATTGTTGTTTGCCTTTTAATGATACATATGCCCCGTGTCCATATCCCTCAAACATTAGGCTGTTTGCAAGAGACAGCTTAGTTATTAATAATATTCTGAAAATTGAAAAAACAAAGATAGACTTAAAATGTTCACCCAACAAATTTATATTGAGCTCTTTCTATGTGCAGGACACTGGGGATACAGCTGTGGTCCAGATTTATCACCCATCCTCGTGTCAAAACTTGTAATAGAGCCTTGAAAGTTTCCAGGCATTTGCCAACCAGTCATTCTTTGCAACAGTGATCAAAGTCCCTCTGCATTGGATGTTTTCATCTGGTATTTGGGAAGAATGCAAGGTGGAAGGACTGAATCTCCAGTTCCATCATTCCCATGCCCTTCCTTTTTGGAGCCACACTACCTCCCTGCTGGTCTGCCAGCCAGACAGGCTTGATCCTTTCCCAGAATATCTGCACTTGCTCATCCACCTGCCTGTAACATTCAGGCCCAGATGTCTAGAGAGCTGATTCCAGCCCTACCCCTTCCTTGTTTTAGGTTTTTGCTCAAACGCTACCTCTTCAGAGAGGTCCTGCCAGTGCAGCCCTTAGATAATGTATAAAATGCTGTCCCGTCACCCAACATCATTCTTTATTTTTACTCTGTTTTGTATTTCTTCATAGCAGGTATCACCCCTGACATAGTATGTATACTGATATATATGTATACACACACATATAAATAATTTGTTTATTGCTTGTCTCTTTCACTAGGGCGAACAGTACTTTTGTTTTGCTCCTTGCTGTTTGCCCAATGCCAAGAATGGTACCTGGAAACACATAACTGCATGAATAAATGAATGAATGTACACTTTTACATACTTATTTTTAAATACTTTTTAATTATCTGCCATTTATAAATAAGCATGTATTAATTCTCAAATACTTGCTGAATGGACATCTCTTGTGAGCACCTGAGCTTGATCACCTCACCAGAGACCGCAGCACACGATCTCTCAAAGCATTCCCTTCCAGAGTATGACTCCACATCCTCAATGCTTACTGAACACCTGCTCTGCTCCAGGCACTGTGTGACAAGAGACGTCAACACGTGATAAGGAGTCAAAAGCAGGTAATATCCCATACCTGCAAATGGGAAAAGACTCCGAGTGACTTGGAGGCTGGCTGAATTTTATTGTCACAATCAAATTACAGATACACTATTAAAGCATTACCTGAATGTTCCTAACAATAGAGTTAAAATTAATTTTACCTTAGTCTAAGTGACTGTGATAATTTTTTTAAATTGGTCACCTATCTGAACTACCTTCTTTGAAACTTAAAATTAAAGAAGATTCTCATCATTTCTCTGTTCCCTGAGTCAGAGAGGACAAGCTACAAGAGCCCTGTAGACGAAAGTTTCAGTACAGGTTGTATCTCAGCTCCCTGAACCTGTGTAGAATTGAGTGGGCTCCTCTGGATTCAGCCCAGGGTGGAATACATAGCACACGTACCAAAGACTTGACCTCAGATGCTTCAGCTCTTCCCTGGCACTGCCAGATATGATAAACACTGTCCTTTAGTTAATGAGCTTCTTCAAGGCAAGAGCCAATATCCATCAGTGCCTATGCCTGGCACACAGCAAGCACTGAATAAACGGCTGTTGAAATCCAAACCTTCCTCCTCTCCATTTCCACAGTAATTGTTCTAGATCTCACCTGGATTACTGCGGGAACCTGCTCAGTGGCCTTTGTCCAATCTTCCTTTCCCCATGCACTGGCCATACCGCCAGCACAGATACTTTTGTCACACCGATAGTATACTGAATGGAATGCTGGAGTAGCCAGGGACCCCCATTACCTGGGCAGGCATGAAGGCGCAAACCTTCCCTTCTGGCTTTACCTCCTCCCCTCTACCCCTTCTCCAATTCCCCTCTCCCCCTCGCAGAAGATGGGCATCTAAGGCCCCGGGTGTGCTGAGCCACCCCACATTCCTGAGTGTGCTTTGCCCTCAGAACTGTCTGTCTTTGGGTAGAATAACCTCCCTCTGAAGGCCTCCTACTCATGCTTCAAAACTCAGCTCAGATTACATCTCCTCTGAAAACTTCCAAAACAATCTTAGTCAAAACTTGACCTCACCCGCTCCTTCACTTTGTGTTCTCTTAGCCCTTTCTTTGAACCTCCCTTTGGACGTTTAAACTCTTCTGCCGTAAATGTGTGTGTGCAGGAAGTGGTGCGTGTTCCTATTTTTCCTCATGAAGTCTAACTTCAAGCCACCTCCTCAAGAACCAGTGGAAAATTATCTTAGTAGTGTGGGTTTTTCCACCTCCATCTCCTGTAGGATTTCACAGGGACCTGGGATGATAATTAAGAGGAGAGGGACCCCTTCATTCTTACACTGTCCAAGGTAAATTGTCAGTGTCCAAGCCTGCTGCTTGGTATCCCTGCCTCCTCTGCCACTTTTTGGGTAGGAGTCTGCTGCAACTGGAAGGTCCAGGCCTTCGGGGCTTTGGGTCTCCATTCCGCCCTGGGCCTTTGCCACACCAAAGGAATTGCCTTATTGCTTCTGTCCATACTCCTTCTTCCTAACATAGTCTCCACCTCCAGAGAGGGTTACAGGGGCCAGGCAGCTGTAGCCACATGAATGACGTTGGCTAAGTGTAAGACCGCAGAAAATGGTAGGGACCACAGTGAACTGGAGGTTGCAACCCCTTAAAAGGGACAGACATCACGACTAGTTCCAACTAATTATAGCCAGGTGACAATGTAGCCCAGGACGGCCTGTCACCTGACGTTTCCAACAGAGGCTGAAATCTAGATTTTGATGTGAAAGCTACTTTCAAAATGTTGGCAACTATTTTTAAAAATTTCAAAACACTATTCATTACAAATGAGACCATCTGAAAACTGTTAGCCTGGAGCAGGCCACTTGGAGACCTCTGTTTTAAAGGAGGAAAAAAAAAAGGCCTGGCAGGAGATTTTCTTCGAGCATTTAACCCCCGAACTTCCCTAAAGCAAGTAGCCCTGACGTCATTCTTGAAAATGGGCTGAGGGAAAAATGCAACAAGAGACACAGATTAATGTCTCAATAAATAACCCTTTCGTGCTGGGACTCTTCACACTGTATCGTAAATAATTGTGTGTGCCTGTCACACGCAGAACCCCCAAGCCTGGTGGCTTCTCAGATTGGCGCCGCCTCCAGCCTCCACTCGGTCCTAGCTGCTGTCAGACTGTTTCCTCCTCCTCAGCTCCTTCAAGTTTCTTTTATGACCCTCCCAGACTTCTCTCTCCTATTTACTTCAAGGGGTCTGCTTGTCTCCAGACTCCTCATACTTGGGAAAACCCCTGCTCACCAGAGAACTCGGCCCATCAGGCGTTATCTCCCTCTCAGCCCTCGCTACCTACCTCCTCCCACACCCTGGCTTCCCTGCCCCCTGCTGCCGAGGGCAAGGTGGCCTTCCTGTTCAGAGCCAACCCTTCCATTCGCACCATTGGTAATGTTCTAAAACTACCTTTTAAAACTCCACTGCCCTCTCCAAGCAGTGAGTCTGCAGCTCAGTTAAGGGAACTTAGCTTTTCATTCATCAATATAATCCTGGAATCTAGTACACTGCCAGGGATGGGGGAGATGTCTTCAAAACATTTACTGAATCAATGCTTTTTAAGTCTGGGGGCTGTACCAAAGCTCCTAAAAATTGTCTAGAGATGTAAGACAACTGTTGACACCTAATGCTTCTAGGTTATTGATCTAGTTCCAGTAATGACTTGTAAGAAGCACATTGAATTAGAAAACTTCTCTGCTTCTACCCTGCTTTCTGCCAACTGTCCTTGTAAGTACATTTTTTCCCATTAATGTTGCTTTTTGACACAGCTTCTATGTGATCTTTATTTTCATTTTGTGTATTTTTTAAATCTATGGTTTCTAATCATCTTAATTTCTTTTGGTTACGAGGAACAAACTTCTTTCAGTTGCTTCAAGTAATAGGCATGTTAGTGAAAGAATGAACGGGCAGAAGAGGAAATCGGACTCTAGCCGCGAGGTCAGCCGGCCTCATGTCAGCGCTGTGGGAGGCCTCCTGCGGGACTGCGGTGCGCTTGGGTCTCAACAGGCACTGGAACCAAGAAAATGAGAAGCAAATGCAATATTAATAATATTAGTGGGAATCTTCACTCTATGCTTTGATAATACATGTAACCTAACAAAATCTGGATTTCAAAAATAAGAAGAGAATCATAGAGACATACAAGAAGACGAATACAGTCATCAAAAGGGAAAAAAAGGTCAAATTCAGGTAGCTCCAGATTCTTCTATATCAATATTCGCTATAGAAGACAGAGAAGTAAGGTTT